CCCCCCCCAACCCCTCCATAGGGAACCCCGAAGCTGGAAATGGGGTCAGCTGTGGGAGGAGGACAAGGGAAGGAGGTCACAGCTGGAAAACAGCAAGTGAAAAATATACAGTGGTTCCTCAAGTTACATCCACTTCAGATTACATACGCTTCAGGTTACAGACTCCGCTAACCCAGAAATATTACCTCGGGTTAAGAACTTTGCTTCAGTATGAGAAGAGAAATCGTGCTCCAGGCGGCGCGGCAGCAGCAGGAGGCCCCATTAGCTAAAGTGGTGCTTCAGGTTAAGAATAGTTTCAGGTTAAGAACGGACCTCTGGAGCGAATTAAGTACGTAACCAGAGGTACCACTTTAATTGCAGACCCTTCAAGTGTCCTTATTTTCCAGGACATTCCTGGATTTACAGAAGCCGTCCCAGTTTCTGATTTGCTTCTCCTTTGTTGTTGTTTAGTCGTGTCCGCCTCTTCGTGACCCCCTGGACCAGAGCACGCCAGGCCCTCCTGTCTTCCACTGCCTCCCGCAGTTTGGTCAAACTCATGCTGGGAGCTTCGAGAACACTGTCCCACCATCTCGTCCTCTGTCGTCCCCTTCTCCTTGTGCTCTCCATCTTTCCCAACATCAGGGTCTTTTGCAGAGAGTCTTCTCTTCTCATGAGGTGGCCAAAGTCGGAGCCTCAGCTTCAGGATCTGTCCTTCCAGTGAGCACTCAGGGCTGATTTCCTTCAGAATTGATCGGTTTGATCTTCTTGCAGTCCATGGGACTCTCAAGAGTCTCCTCCAGCACCAGAATTCAAAAGCATCAATTCTTCGGCGATCCGAATTCTTTATGGTCCAGCTCTCACTTCCATACATCACTACTGGGAAAACCAGAGCTTTTACTATACGGACCTTTGTTGGCAAGGTGATGTCTCTGCTTTTTAAGATGTTGTCTAGGTTTGTCATAACTTTTCTCCCAAGAAGCAGGCATCTTTTAATTTTGTGATTGATATCACCATCTGCAGTGATCATGGAGCCCAAGAAAGTAAAATCTCTGCCTCCATTTCTCCCCCTTCTATTTGCCAGGAGGTGATGGGACCAGTGGCCAGGATCTTCATTTTTTTGATGTTGAGCTTCAGACCATATTTTGCGCTCTCCTCTTTCACCCTCATTCAAAGGTTCTTTAATTCCTCCTCACTTTTTGCCATCAAGGTTTGTGTCATTAGCATATCTGAGGTTGTTGATATTTCTTCCAGCGATCTTAATTCCGGCTTGGGATTCATCCAGCCCAGCCTTTCCCATGCCTAACCCTAACCCTAACCCTATTTTCATCAGAGAAATGTTGGAGGGTATGGAGTCATGTGACCCCCCCCCAAAGCCAAGGAGATAAGTAACTATGCAACCTTTAGAAGACATCTGACTGTATAGTTTTATTCTGTTTTTCTATACAGTGGTGCCTCGCAAGACGGAATTAATTCGTTCCGCGAGTTTTGTCGTCTTGCGATTTTTTTCGTCTTGCGAAGCACGGTGTCGGGAAAGCTTTGGAAAAGCTTCAAAAATCACCAAAGTCTTTAAAAACCTCAAAAAAGGCTACCACACTGCGTTCTCTGAGTTGCTCCTCGAAGTCAAGTCGCAACTGTATTAACGGTGTTAAGAAAAAGGAAACAAACTTGCAAGACGTTTCCGTCTTGCGAAGCAAGCCCATAGGGGAAATCGTCTTGCGAAGCAGCTCAAAAAACCCTTTCGTCTAGCGAGTTTTTTGTCTTGCGAGGCATTCGTCTTGCGAGGTACCACTGTAGTTTGGAAGCCGCCCAGAGTGACTGGGGCAACCCAGACAGATGGACGGGGTATAAATAATTAAACTGTTGTTGTTGTTATAATGGAATAGGAGGTCCCTATTTTGATCAGGGAAATGTTGAAGGGTGTGTAACTGGTGGAAAGGGGGAAAGCAGTGGTTGGGAGACCCGCTGGGAAGGTGAAAAGCCCCCATAGAGAGGGTGGGGATGGAGGGTGAAGTCTCAGAAACATGGCACCATTTTCACCCTTACTACAGGCTTGTAAAGTCAGGCTGTGTTGTCCTCCCCCCCCCCCACAGACGGGGAAGACTGCACTCACAGAAGGGCTGAACCACATGAAATCATGGACAGGATTTGAAGTTTGAGCAGTGGGAAGAAAACGATAATATATGAAATGGAGGAGATAAATTAGCTGAAATGTGTGGTGTTATGCAGAATGTGAAAATGATGGGCCTATTAACAGTGTGGAAGGAAAAGTGGGAAGTCAAATTCCTAGAGAAATGTATAACAAATCTGAAATGTTATATTAATTGGCTGAAGTTATGAAAATGTAATAAAAATCTTAAGTAAAAATAAAAAGCAATAAGAGAGATTCAGAGGGTTTTCTGTTGTAATAATAATAATGATGATGATAATAATAATAATTTATACCCCGCCCATCTGGCTGAGTTTCCCCAGCCACTCTGGGCGGCTCCCAATCGAGTGTTAAAAACAATATAGCATTAAATATTAAAAGCTTCCCTAAACAGGGCTGCCTTCAGATGTCTTTTAAAGACAGGATAGCTGCTTATTTCCTTCACATCGGAATCTTCCTTTACATCATGAATCTCCACCCCCAGGAGTACACAAATTCAACTTCTGTTTCCCGCCCCACAAACTTAAGTTCTGCCCTTCCCATTTCGCCAAAGTGTTCTTCATACCCTTTGACGTTCTGAAAAGCCGTCGCAGTCGTTGACTTCTCCTGATAGACACTTTTATAAAAATAATACGTGCAAATCATGTGCATGAAAAAATGCGCGTGCAATAAAAGTGTATGATAAAATGCGAGTCAAAATAACAGACCTAAAAAGAAATGCCTTCTATTGGAGGGAAATGGCTTTGCCGAGGCGCATTAGTCAAAACGGCATATAAATGTGTTCTCTTGCAACAAACACACAGAGACGGGGTGGCACAGTGGTTAGAGTGCCGGATGAGGACCTGGGAGACTTGGGTTCGAATCCCCACCAAGCCAGGAAACTTGACGGGGGTGACTTTGGGATCCCTGCCTCTCTCAGCCTGCTCTCCCTCGCAGGGGTGTTGTAGGGGCTAAATGCAGAAGAACTTTGTTTGCCACCCTGAGCTCCTTGGCGGCTGCTCAGGGAGCCTTTAACGGCCCGATTCTTTGAAGTCGCACATAAATGGCTGGTGTTCAGGGTGGGGGTCATGCCACCAAGGTGAAACTACGTAGCCGGCGGGGTGGGGTAGGGGAACTGGGGTGTGGAAAATGACCAGAATGCATAACCTAAATATTTCCCGCAGTGCCAACGAGGGACAACACTGCCTTTGTTCTGACAAGAGAAACACCCATAATCTTTCTGTGCCCTGAGAAGGCCTGTCAGAACACTTGACGAACACCAGCCCCGGGTTTACTCTGACGCCAGAGGAATTCTCTCCCCCCCTCCCAGTTAAACCTGACCGACCGTGAGGTCAGAAGCAATAAAGAGTGCCCAGGAAGGTTCATTTTGTGCAGGAGGAGAACATCCGTTGGTAGAGCATGAGGTAACTAATATCAAGGTTGTGGGTTCGAGCCCCACGCCGGATGAAAGATTCCTCCTGCCTTGCAGGGGGCTGGACCGGGTGACCCTCAGGGTCAGAGTAAATCGTTTCCTGTGCCGGAAGGAGCTCAAGAAACCAGGCTGGGAAGAAACCACAGCATTCTTTCAATCAATGACCATCCGCAGGCCTCTTCTCCCTGACCGCTTGCAGTGAGCCAGTGTGGTGTAGTGGTTAAGAGTCGTAATCTGGGGAACCGGGTTCGCGTCTCCGCTCCTCCACCTGCAGCTGCTGGGTGACCTTGGGCCAGTCACACTTCTCTGAAGTCTCTCAGCCCCACTCACCCCACAGAGTGTTTGTTGTGGGGGAGGAAGGGAAAGGAGAATGTTAGCTGCTTTGAGACTCCTTAGGGTAGTGATAAAGTGGAATATCAAATCCAAACTCCTCCTCTTCTTCTTCTTCTTCTTCTTCTTCTTCTTCTTCTTCTTCTTCTCCTTCTTCTTCTTCTTCTTCTCCTCCTTCTTCTTCTTCCTGTGTTTCCAGGGATTCCTTGCAACATTTCCGCCCCTGGCACTGCTCCAAGGTGGCCCTGCCAGGGTGTTGCATGGCAGGGTCCCAATTCCCCCCCCCCCCACTTGACAACAGTATTTTAGGTTACTGAGCTAAAAAAAAGGCCACAACTTCATAGGTTGCAGATTGTGAGCGGTATTGGTTTAGGCATTGGACCTAACCGAGTATATCTGACTCCCACCCATCTCTGCGCGGAGTCCGGGAAGAGTTAACCACCAGTAGATTGAAATTAAAAAAATTAAGGTCTTTATATATATATATATATATATATATATATATATATATATATATATAATGTTCATAAATGTACCAAGTAAACACGTACATAAATATATAAACCACATGTCTGAAGCAGCACAGGAAAACAGCCCTGGAACCATTTTGACTCCCAGACTGTCTGTGTATGAATCGGGTGAGCTTGTGACCTGGCTCAGGAAATATTTGTCATTACAAAAGACTGGCCAGGCTCCCCAGGGTATCCAATCAAGTAAGCATTAGCAGGTAACCTGCCAGACAGGAGGCAAACAACGCACTCAGATTTCTGCTGTAGACTGCCCTTTCTGTGATGTAGGTATGATGTATTTGGGGGTGGTCTTGGACTCCAGGGCGGGCAATTTAAAATGTCTATATAAGGGTGGGCAAACCTTGGTTCTGGGTCCTCCTCCTTTCCTGCATGTGAGGGGAGCACCCTGTTGCAACAGTTCAATAAAGATCAGGCTTACGGGCTGCTTTGCTTCTCAATATTCTCTGTTTGGCCTCTGTTATTTTCTCCGACCAATGGAGAACCTACAAAGGACTCTATGAGGGCTCTTGTGTTCCCCATAAGGGAATCAGGGCAGATTTTTGTTTATTGCAGTTGCCTGGGCAGTGACACAGCTGGGAATCCCCCCCAATCGTGCAGGGCTGACCACACCCCTGCGCACATGGAGGGGTCATGGGAGCCCACAACTCCGCCTCCTCCTAAGGCAGAAGTGGCTATGTCACCCACATCCCCTGTGGCGGCTCTGGGGGCTCCTGGCTTGGCAAACATCTCGGCCAACACACCCAGCCGGCCGTTGCCACAGGCCAACAGGCACATTCCTGCTCAACCGAGAAGCAGTTCATAGAATCCTAGAGTTGGAGGGGACCCCAAGGGTCATCTAGTCCAACCCCCGGCAAAGCAGGAACTGCAGCTGACCCCTGTTTGAAAACATCCAGTGAATCGTAGAATCATCATACACTAGAGTAATGCCTGATAAAATATTTCAAGAATCCATTGCTTATATTTCAAAATTCAGGGTGGATAAAAATCAATTGGTTGTGTTTTTTTAAAAAAATGGATTTTTTTAATTTAAATTGTTTTTTGTTTTTTATTCCTGGGTGGAGAAGATCGACAAGACTTATTTCAGGCGGTTATCTGCCTGCCATTCGGACACCTCTGTTTAGCATGATGGTTCCTGAGCTGGAGGAACAGGTTTTCACCTCTTTTCAGATGTTGTCAGGTGCCAATTTGGAATCAAGGCATAGTGGCATGAATTCTCCCAGGCCTCTGAAAGCCATCCGAGTCGGTGGCCGTGAGTCATTGTGGCAGAGAGTTCCACGGTTTAAAATTCTGCTGAATCCAGACCTGGAAGAGCTGCCAGCTTTCCTTTTTAACAAACAGCTCTGAGTGGATAGCTCAGTGGGTCTGAGAGCTTTCCCCATCCTTCTTTGAAAGCGCTGGGGATGACGGTTGTGCCATTTCCTCAGCTGAGCTGCGATCCTTGAGCAGACACTTGCGACTGTTTACAGAGGGCTAAAAATAAGCGCTGCTATGAAGACAGAGGCATGTCCCAGCGTGGCAGTCTAAATATTGACTGGAGCCCACGTCAGAAGATGGAATTGGTACACTGCATTCTTCATTATTTGTACATGAGCACAATTCAAAGTGTTGGCGCTGACCTTTAAATGGCCTTGGTCCAGTATACCAGAAGGAGCGTCTCCACCCCCATTGTTCTGCCCGGACACTGAGGTCCTGGCAGTTCCCTCCCTGCGAGAAGCCAAGTTACAGGGAACCAGGCAGAGGGCCTTCTCGGTGGTGGCACCCTCCCACCAGATGTCAAAGAGAACAACAACTACCAGATTTTTAGAAGACATCGGAAGGCAGCCCTCTTTAGGGAAGCTTTTAATGTTTAATATATTATTGTACAGTGGTGCCCCGCAAGACGAATGCCTCGCAAGACGAAAAACTTGCTAGACGAAAGGGTTTTCCGTTTTTTGAGTCGTTCCGCAAGACGAATTTCCCTGTGGGCTTGCTTTGCAAGACGAAATGTCTTGCGAGTTCTTGTGAGTTTGTTTCCTTTTTCTTAAAGCCGCTAAGCCGTTAATAGCCGCTAAGCAGCTAATAGCCGTGCTTCGCAAGACGAAAAAATCGCAAGACGAAGAGACTCGCGGAATGGATTAATTTCGTCTTGCGAGGCACCACTGTATTTTAATATTCTGTTGGAAGCTGCCCAGAGTGGCTGGGGAAGCCCAGCCAGATGGGCAGGGTATAAATAAATTGTTGTTGTTGTTGCTATTCATAAAGCACAGCAAGTGACCTGCACAGAGAGAGAGAGAGAGAGAGAGAGAATTGTAGAGTTGGAAGGGATCTCCAGGGGTCATCCAGCCCAACCCGCTGCAATGCAGGGATCTCACCCAAACCATCCAGGACAGATGGCCACACAACCTCTGCTTAGAAACCTCCAAGGATAGACATAGCTATATAGACACACACACTCCAACATTTCTCCGATGGAAATAGGGATGTCCTAAGGAAAAGTGAGACATTCTGGGATCAAATCCCATCAAACTGGGATGGTTTCTGAAAATCTGGGACTGTCTCCAGAAAATAGGGAGCCTTGGAGGGTCTGCGCACACACACAAAACTATGAAAACAAAGGTAAGGGGGGGGGAGTTTAATGAAATAACAATAATCAAAACAGGGAACATATCAGGGAAATGTCCCCTGATACCAAGATGAGAGATTCTATGGAATGCAGATGGAGAGAATTGATAAGAATAATGATCTGTTGTGACCTTGACAATAGGTGAGCCTTTTTGTGTCTTGGCTCATCTTCCTCTTTTTTCTTTTTCCCTTTTTCCCCCCTTTTCTTTCTCTCTCTCCCCCCTTTTTTCCTTTTCCCTCCTCCTCCTCCTTTCCTTTTTCCTTTTTCCTTTCCCATAATGGCTTATGTTCTATGCCATGTGCTTTGATATTTTCTGTAGTTTTTTAGCTTTTCTCATTATTATTAAGGAATTTTCTTTTGTAATTTCGGTTGTCTATATTTATCTGTATTTGCTTAAAGCAAAATAAAAGTATTTTTTTTAAAAACATATCTGGAAAAACAGGAATCTGCCTTATCAAAGCTTGCTGCTCTCTCATCTTGAAACAGCCTCTTTGGGAGTCAGGTAGCTAATCTCTGGAACTAGCGAGCTGCAGGATGGACGCATGTTGTTCAAGGAAGGTGATGGGAAGTTGGAGAGATTGAAGGGCGTGAGACGGATATGTTGGGCAACATGAAGTGGCAGAACAATGAGGCTCCCCTTCCTTAAACTGGGAGGATTACCCTTGGCAAGCAAACTCTCCAAGCCGTGCCAGGTTTTGGAATAGCCCCACTGAAAAAGGGGGGGGGAGCAATAAAGGTGTGTGCCTTGGGGTGTTTTAAAAAATATCATTTGCAGAACAAATGACTCACCAGGCAGATGAAAAGGTCTCTGTTGGAGGAGAAAGTGGAAATAAGAACAAAAGGGCCATTGTTTGCATGGCTGTAATTCAGGAGCTCACAGTTGAGCTATGGAACTCCTTGCCACTGCAGATAGCAGCGGCCACTGACCTTAATGGCTTTGAGAGAAGTTTGGGCAAATTCATGGAGGAGAAGGGGAAAGATAGTTAGAAAAAAGCCCTGCAGATAACAATGTTCAGAAGTCCTTTACCTTTACCTGTATAGGGAAGTTTTCTAATGTTTTATGTTTTTATATATGTTGGAAGCCACCTGGAGTGGCTGGGGCAGCCCTGTCAGATGGGTGGGGAGTAGTAGTAGTAGTAGTAGTAGTAATAATAATAATAATAATAATAATAATAATAACAAGAACAAGAACAATAGCAGCCCTATTTCCATAGAAGAAAATCCTTTTCTGTTGCGTGAGTTTTTTCAACTGTTCTTATATGTTCTTTCAACGCTGATTTCAAATCTGAAATCGATTTTCGTGTACACACTATAGTTATCTTTTGATTTCCAACTATAAGAACAGTTGAAAAACCTCATGCAACAGAAAATGGAAAAAAAATGTCCCCCGGTATACTGTGTATCCCAAGGGAATACATTTTTTTGCATACCTCAAAGTGTACATAGATATACATGTCATTTTCAATGCTATATAAGTCACATTTATACTCATATTGTACTACTTTGGCTATGTGTTTAATAAAATACTGAATTCTTGCATTGTGAAAAACAAAGATTATGGTGAAAAGTGAAAAACATGAATTGCCAAAAAAAAAAACACCTAGAGCTTACAGAACAAAACCAACTTCAGATATGAAATCAGCACGTCAAAATTAGGTTAGAACAACTGCAGGTGTCAATGCAACAAAATTTTTGTTCCCCAGTGAGAATAATTATAGAATAAGACACCCAGAGAAATGTTGGAGGGTATGGGCTTATGGGGCAGACAATGCCATCTCTGACGTATTGAATGCATGAGGCCCCCTTTATGGGAGGTCAAGTGTCTCCACCTTGTAAGCTGCTGGGAGATCCGGCAAGACAGCATTGCTGGATGGGACGCACCCTCTGCTAGACCAAACAGACCACTTTGTGGTCACTTGATGGATTTATCTTCTCCCCAAGCCTTCTGCAGCTTCTCCCGTAGACCGGGTGAAACATCTCGGTCTTCTGCGTAGGCCAACGTTGCAATCATATGGGGACGAGGGGCAGCTGTGCACCCCCAAAGGTTGATAGATACCAACTCCAGCTGAGGTCTGCAGGTCCCTGAAGTTTGCACCGCCTGGGACTCACCAAATTTGCCACATGTTCTGAAAGGCCGTCCCTTTTCCCCAGGTGGGAATGCCCCAGGTGGGAGAGCCAGTGTGGTGTAGTGGTGAAGAGCGGTAGTCTCGTAATCTGGGGAACCGGGTTCGCTTCCCCCCTCCTCCACATGCAGCTGCTAGCTGACCTTGGGCCAGTCACACTTCTCTGAAGTCTCTCAGCCCCACTGACCTCATAGAGTGTTTGTTGTGGGGGAGGAAGGGAAAGGAGAATGTGAGCCGCTTTGAGCCGCTCCAAAATGTTAGCCGCTTTGAGCCGCTCCAAAATGGTCAAAGGTCTAGAAACGATGCCTTATGAGGAATGGCTAAGGGAGCTGGGCATGTTTAGCCTGGAGAAGAGGAGGTTAAGGGGTGATATGATAGCCATGTTCAAATATATAAAAGGATGTCACATAGAGGAGGGAGAAAGGCTGTTTTCTGCTGCTCCGGAGAAGCGGACACGGAGCAATGGATCCAAACTACAAGAAAGAAGATTCCACCTCAACATTAGGAAGAACTTCCTGACAGTAAGAGCTGTTTGACAGTGGAATTTGCTGCCAAGGAGTGTGGTGGAGTCTCCTTCTTTGGAGGTCTTTAAGCAGAGGCTTGACAACCATATGTCAGGAGTGCTCTGATGGTGTTTCCTGCTTGGCAGGGGGTTGGACTCGATGGCCCTTGTGGTCTCTTCCAACTCTAGGATTCTATGATTCTAGGAGACCCCTTAGCGTAGTGATAAAGCGGGATATCAAATCCAAACTCTCCTTCTTCTTCTTCTTCTTCTTCTTCTTCTTCTTCTTCTTCTTAACAGAGACGTCTGTGCATCTGTCATAGGGAATGCCTCTTTCAAATAGAGCCATTCCTCAATCTCTAAACAGGTCTTGGTGGACCACAAGCTTAACATGAGTCAATAGTGTGATGCAGCAGCAAAAAGGTGTAATGCTACTCTAGGTAGCATCAACAGCAACATAGTGTCCTGGTCAAGGGAAGTAAAAGTACTGCTCTCTTCTGCCTTGGTCAGACCACACCTGGAGTACTGCGTCCAGTTCTGGGCACCA